ATAACTATGTATCAGTCCACTATTCTATCTACCTTGTAACCATGTATATAATTGTGACCAAATTTTCTGGTGGTCTTTTTTCTTTTTTGCATCTAGCCAAACTGATAGTACCATATTTTTTTCCATGTATAAGACTATACTTTTGTCTAAAATTTTAGAGAAAATATTGAGGGTTGTCTTATACACAGAAGTAAGCTGAGGAGAGTACAAAAACAAGTGGAGGGGAAAGCAGGGATCAAATTCTTCCTGCAGGGCTTTGATCCTTGCTTTCCCCTCCACTTGATAATCCTTAGCAAAAGGAAAACAGAGATCAAAGCGCTGCAGGATCGCTTTGATCCCTGCTTTCCCCTCTGCTTGCTAAGTCCCATGGGGCTTAACAAAAGGAGGGGGGAAAGAATCAAAGCAATCCCGTGGCTGTATAAGGGGGAAAGGGATCAAAATGATCCTGCAGTTGTGGGATTGCTTCGATCCCTTTCCCCCTCCTTTTGCTAAGCCCCATAGGGCTTAGTATGAAGGGAGAAAACAGGGACCAAAGTGATCCTGCAGTGCTTTGATCCCTTTCCCTCTACACTTGCTAAGCGCCACTTAGATTTCTTAATTTTGGGTTAGAAAAGTGGGGGTCATCTTATACACAGAAAATTACGGTATGTCCATTTCTGCAGTTTCAAGGATTTTATTTATCACTTCATCTATCTGCGGTGTTCTAGGTTCTTTCCAATGTTTTGCAAAAACTATTCTTGCTGCTCTTATAACATGAATAGTTAAATATGATTTTTGGCAAGATATTTAATAGGAATAGTTCTGGTACCGTCGGTATTGAAGTTTCTAATATCTTTTGTAGCATCTGATTCACTTTACTCCAGAAATCTTATTATTCATAATAACTTATTATTTGCATTCATCTTCTGCCTTAGCTCCATTAAGCTCAGTTGGCATACATGGCTCTCCTGCCCAAGAATTTAGCCCGGTGACATAGCTCAGGCAGACAAGTATGAATGGACCCAAGTTCCCCAGTGAGTTTCATGACCAAGTGGGGATTTAAACCCAGATATTCTGAGTCACAATCCAGCACTCTAATACAGTAACTACACCACACTGGCTCTATCTTGGAAAGTTACTTTTAAAAAGCAATTCGCAACAGCTCCAAGCCACCCAAATAGATGTTAGGCAGTCTTTTTTTAAAAATGTAACTAGAGTGGTCCTGACCCGACCAGATAGGCGAGATATAAATTAAATAAATAATAATAAATAATAATTAACTTGTTTTTCAAAACTAACTAAAACAATTGCTTTTTGGTTGCTTGACCTCCATATTCCCACCAAACCATCACCAACTTTGACTAACAGAATCACTGGGAGGAAGAAGAGACTAAACTACTCTCCTTCCCAAAGCAATCCAGAACCATCAAGACTCACAGGTATTGTTAGGAGAGGGGAAAGAGGTAGAAGCCTCCCTCCATTTCCAGCAATTTCTGCTGAGTTTTCTCATATTCATTGTTGAGATGATGTGATCCCTGGAATCAAATATTTGTACACTTATTCTGATGTGTGCATTTATAAAGTAACACAACCAATGCTATGTCAATTGTGCCCTTACATTTTTGGTTGCTGTGGGTTGAGTTGCTCCAAAAATAATCCAACATGCTTAGTTTACTTATAAAGGGAGTTAATCCAAACTAGGATTACAGATGCAGGCAGACATCATCAACAGACATCATCCCGCAAGGGCTAGGCTTTCTTCCCCTGTGCTCTTGGCCATTGCTGGCCTGGAGATGCATGAACTGGTTGTGTTGAAACAGGTTGTGCAAAATTATGCCAAAAGGCAAGCTATGAACAAGAACTACAGAAGAAATAAAACTGAAATGATGCAAATGATATTCCAAGAAATTGGCAAATGAATGGGCACCCAAATATTGAAACCACTTGTATGGTAATCACTGGGGCAGTTAAGTAATTAATTTTACTGCTAGGGCTTGTAATTTTAGTGACTTTTAATTTGTACATCTTTAAACGAGGAAAATGCATGCTTTGAAAAATAATGCATACCACAGCGTATTTTTTTTGGACAAGGAGACGCTGTTATAACATGTACTAACTATTCCAGCCTTAATAACTACTGAAATTATTTCCATATGAATGGACCTCTGCACAGAGCCACCATTTTATTGAATATAAGGGAGGAGTCATTCTTGGCTAATCCTGTTAATTCACTTTAGTACCTTTCTAATTAAAGCATGCCCTACTCTTAAAAAAACCAACAGTACAGGATGTTCAGTAATCCAAGCTTATCACTTGTTAATCAGCAGATGTGAACTTTCCTTTTGACAGAAAACATCATCAAAATGGTTACAGAATGGCTTTGCCTAACTTTATAATAATCAACATACTGAACTGGATGGGCCTTAAGATAACAAAAAAACAGAACCGTAAAGATTGACTAAGGAATGGGATACCGACCGCTTGTCCGACAAAGCGGCTCTGCCTGTATTTATTACATGCATCTTGTCAAAGCTTAGAATACTTGTTTGAGAAGATCATGGTTACTTTAGCTACCAATCTTTTTTAGAACTGTTTAGAGCAGCCTGTCAATTAGATACATGCACTTAACTCAAACAACTTAAAGTAATACTATTGGAAATGATTAGAATCCAATTTGTATGCAGAGAACTCTTTTAAAATTATGCAATGTATTAATTCAAAGAATTATTCTAAAACTCCTGTGTCCCATTCCCACCACCAATAATTTTTTGCAAAATTACAAATTTCAATGACAGTTGCTAAAAATATGTTTTTATTCAAATATGTTTTCGATGCAAATCTTGGGACACCTTGGTTTTACGTGTACAGGATTGGACAATATAGTTAAATTCTGTTTGCCGATGTTTTCATAACACAACAGTGGACTAAAGAACTCTGTATAGATATGCTCATTATGAGAATTCTGCATTATGCAACCGTGATTTGATATACCTCATTTGACATCACTTCCTTTCCATGTTAGGTTGTAAACTTTTAATATCTGCAGCAGTTAAGGGCAATCAGAAATGCTTTTACAAACAACCATTTGGAATTTAGAACATTAAAGTTCCTCCCTTGCACCCATTCACCAGCAACTATCCAACATACTGAGACTGGCCTATGAAATGATTAAATCTGACCATACACCATAATGAAAAGTAGCATTTTGCTCAAATTGCCTCCTTCAAAAGGGACAACATTTGAAAGCTGCTTTTTGAAACAGACTTATTTCAACTCTTCTCCACTTCCATTAGTGAGACCAAAATCCTGCAGTCTTCCAGGAGAGAACTGCTTTAGCATTAATTCCTGTCTTTGGGACGTTTCAAAGCTTGTGTTTATTCTACCTGAAAACAACATACAGTAACAATACCATTGGTTGCTTCAATATTTTAATTCTCAAATTGAAAGCATTGCAATTGGGAGGATTCACATGTTGAAACAAAATATAGAAAAAAATTCTACAAAGGGATTCACATTTCCCAAAGTATATTCCAAAAGGAAAAACATCCTAATATAATCAATTATTCCAGCATAAAAAGCACTGAAAAAAAATATTTCCGCAATAGACGTGGCACTTTCTTTGGTGTTGACAGAGGAAACCAAAGGCCAATGTTCAACACTAACAATCCGTTGTGAGCAGCACATCATTTTCGAAACACTTAAAAAAAATTACTCAAGGCACCTGTAAAAAAAATACTTGCTGGTGTGACTGGGCAAACTGCCCTTTTGCTTGATTTTCTTTAGCTAAAATGTTGCAGCTCGCTAAGTTGTCCTTATTTGTGATATACGGATTGTTAATTTTGAACAGTGGATTTTTCGATCAGGTGTAGATACAAATGCAATGAAAAATATTACCATCTAAAAGTTCAGAACTTTTAGCTATTGATGCCGTGGAGGGGAGAGAAGACGAAAAAACTTATATCTGAGATTCAGGTTATTATTTTTGCATAGATTTGATCTGTTCATCAAAGCTATTCTGGACAATGCAAGGTAAGTAATACTGAATGTGGTAGTCCAGCCATTTCAAAGGAACAGCATCCTCAAATAAGGTTGGCCTACAGCTCCCTAAATCCTTCACCACCACCTGGCTATGGAGAGACTCTGGGAGGTAAAATCCAACAATATCTGGGGATCCAAAATATGGAATCATTACAGTGATAAACGGCCAGTTTAGAGAGATCTAATAAAACTTCACTCTAATTTATGCACATCAAGAGACAAAATCATTCACTATTTCCCTGGATATTAAAACTGTAATGACTGAAGGCAGCAGTAAGAGAGACAGTTCACAGGATGAAATCAAGGGAGAGTATATTGGTATTTTCTGTTTCCCGAGATTGTAAAGGCTGCTTGATGCAGAATACTTCTGGGCTTTTATACAGAATACTGGCTTAGTAAACATAAAAGATTAACATTGGGAGAATTTATGAAAATGCTGTCACCGTATGCTCCTGGATTAATGTATACATTAATACACGGGAGACAACTGAAATGTTCACTAGAACATCTGCATGGTTTGTAACAAAGCTCAGTGAATATTTTTAACACAGATCACCACCAGGTGGTATGTCCAAGCCAGGTGAATTTTGAAGTCATGCAAGGTAAGATCTCTTCGCTGAAGAGAAGTTAAAGAACACTTTTACTAAAGTATGGTCAGTGTCAAAAATACAAAGAACTATATCAAAACATGCTGGAAAGGACTACGATTTTCTGTAAATTTTTCTTCCACAAAAAACCCCCAAAAACCCACGGGTGAGAATGGAGCTCTTTTCCTAAAGATTTCTGGACTGCCGTTGCTGTTTTTTTGCCCCCTGCAATTTTTGGACAGCAAACTTGCTATATGATATCTCTTCTCAATATTGTCCACCATGTAAGTGAAGATTTTGCAACTTCTTTCCCGAAAACAATACAATTTTAAGAACTCTGCCATTAGATATCTAAAAAATATATTAACAGCAAATCTTCCTAACCACTCCAACTGTTCAAAATCAGACAGCAGTATATTCTGTGGGCAAGACCTGTGTCACCACTGTACCCAGTACAGTAGCTGAGTAAGGGGCCTAAATCCAGTTTCTCTGGGAATCTCAAGGACAGAGCAGTTATTATTTTGAATTTTACAATATTTTAATCCAGAATTCAGTGTACTCAGTTAGAACTCAAAAATATTACACGTTGAAGCATTTTCAACACTAAAGTTCCCTCATTCACAACTCATGTAATGCTCTGCACTCAGTATGGACACCAAGTGTGCGATACTGGCCATCAAAAGAACTTCTTAGCCGCTGCTTCCTGCTGAGTCCTGCAAACAAACAAAACATTGATTAGCAACTTCACATCTAGAGTTCAAAGACTGGCCAAACTAGGGCTGATACTTAGAACCAATCTCTGTGCAAAACTATTATGAACCACCTCCAGTGTATGTCACTGACCACACCCTTCACACCTACAGACTAAGAAACCTTTGGTTGTTGTGGGTTTTTCGGGCTCTTTGGCCGTGTTCTGAAGATTGTTCTTCCTAACGTTTTGCCAGTCTCTGTGTCTGGCATCTTCAGAGGACAGAAGTAGCACTCTGTGCTCTGGTGCAGTTTGTTTGGGAGTTGACTATTTATAGCTGCGAGATCAGTTTTTGTCCTTTTCACAAGATAGGTGATCATGGTGATCAGTGTTTTTGTTGTGGGTGTACGTCCATTACTTTACCTGCTACACCACACTGGCTCTTAAGGAGATATGATTCCCCCCTCCACATTTTATTCTGATCTCAGAACTGGGAGAGCACAGTCTTCCTGTACAGCTGATCTGGACATCTGAGCAACTCCATGCACATTGGTTGTTACCTTTACATCCTTTACTCCCACCCTTCCTTCAAAGAGCTCACAAAGCACCACCCAAGATGCTCCAGTCCTAAAAAGTGAAATAAATTTTGGCTACCAACAAAGGTGCAACTTAAAACCCTGCTATTTTTCCACCAATAGGCAAAAAACCCTTTTACTTATGTGAGCCTTCAACTCCTGACCTCGCTCACTGCAGAAGGTGCTCTTAACGGAATGGGTTAAAGAGGAGGGAGCAGGAGCCACCTTCATTCTCCTACAATAGCCTTTTCTATTCTTCATTGGTGCATCTTTAAATAGTGCTTCAATTTTTTTACATAATGCTATTATTCATTTTATGTTTTGATTATATTTTGTTCTAAGCCACATTAAATGCTTTTTTTGGGGGGGAGAATAAAGACAGAAATGAAATAAATAAATGAATAACAGAGCAAATCAGTTGTGATGGTAAAACCCTGGCACTTTTTCAACTGGTTGAACCAATTGGTGTTTTTTGCTTCCCCGCAGAATCTTGGTGATTTAGGCATATGTAAGCCAAACCGTATAACTCACGGCAACAAAATATCTCCAACTAACTATATGCCAGTCATATTAAAAGATGCACTCCTGACTGCACAAGAGTCACGTGTCTAGTAATGTGACTGACACCTCCATAATTAACATACAAATTGCCATGGTGAGTTACGCAATTAAGCTTACACACATGTAGATAACAGGATTCTGGACACTGGTTCAATTCTGTTTTGCCATGTGCAAAATATACTCACATGATCACTTACCTATACATGATGTAACCAATGAACAATAATGTTTGGACTGCTACGAATATAAAGAAATGTGTCGTAGATAAACAGGATGGAAATGGTGGCAACTCTGGACATTTGGGCTTTTCATTTGATGGCTGGAAAGGAAGAAAACAGAAGTTAACATTCAGCAGAAACACAATCAATATGCACTTCTTTCGAAAGGAAGGGTTCTTTTTGCTCCTGTGCAACAAGCAGTAGGTACACAGTACAGTGGTGCCTCGCATAGTGATCGCTCCGCTTAGCGAAGCGATCGCTTAGCGATGGACTTTTTGCCATTTCAAAAGCGATTGCTTTGCGATGGTCCCTAGGGGCTATTTTCGCTTTGCAATGATTGCAGGGAAGTGATCATCACAAAGCACCCATTTTCGCACAGCTGATTGGCGGTTTCAAAATGGCCACTGGATAAACAAAATGGATGCCTGCTGTGTTTAGGGATGGATTCCTCGCTTTAGAGGCACCGAAAATGGCGGCGCTATGGAGGATCTTCGCTTAAAGGTGAGTTTTAAGCTCATAGGAACGCATTAATCGCGTTGTAAGGTGTTTTAAGCTCATAGGAACGCATTAATCGCATTGTAAGGCGTTTCTATGGGCTTTTTTATATCGCTTAGCGACGTTTTCCTTCTGCAGTGATTTTTGCAGAACGGATTAATGTCGCTAAGCGAGGCACCACTGTATTAAAATTTGCAATTTTTAGAGTGAAATACATAAAGGAGGAACAAGAGGAAAGCAGCTCTACAAACAAGGAGAGGGAAAATTGGAACACTACCACAACACACACTTACTCCGTTTGGAGGTTCCTTGGCAAGACATTCCCCCCTCCCACAACCCTACACTAGCCCCACAGCTACTGTTGCCAAACAATGTTGTTTCTCCTCACTATCATCTTCCCGGGCCAACTGGGGGATTAACAGATGGTGACAGATGGCCCTCCTGTACCCCACCACTTGTTGCCCACTCTGGGTCACAGAGAAAGGGCAAACAAAAGAAGAAGGGGACAATGGTGTGTTGGCTCATAGAATCAAGCATTCCTGGGCGCATATTTCCTAGAGAGGTACACAACACAACAAGGGGCCCATCACCTTGACTCCCAACTCTAGCCTAAAGATATTGAACGATGGATGTTTGTTGCTCAGTAGTGTTGCCATTCATTTTTGAAATCTCAGATTTGTCGACCCACTGAAATGAAATGTTTGCCCACCGTACCATGTTCCTCTGCACTAGATGCTCAATGTCCCTCTTTACGACGTGGAGGTGCTCTTTGATGTCATTGAAGTGTTGAGTCGTTTCATAAACTCCACCAACAGAACCAGCATGCTGCAGACCGCTAACCTGCCTTAATGTTTCTCCCATGGCGTTTCTGGAAACAGGGGGGGGAAAACACCCTGTCTCAGTGGTGACAATTCTTGAGTGTCTCAAATGAAAGTTCTTAGTTTTTCTTGTAGCACACCTCTTTATGTCAAGGTTGTTGTTTTTTAAAAGCTCCCCCCCTTCCCTACAACGGCAAGGTTCTCCTCACTCACTACTTCAAGGGCCAGGAGGATTAAAAAAAGATGGGCCGAGACACAGGCAAAGGGCTCCTGCCCCAGAGTAATAGCAACAAACACTCTGGCACATTTGCTTCCATAAGCATCAGAGATGTTCATTCTCATATATTCAGCAAACAGCATATGCATCTGAGAGGGAGATCCGCAATGATCACAACTGGTGTAGATGCAGAACAAAGACACCCTTTAGCTAAACAGTTTTATGGGGGTATCACAGGAATATGTTTCTACATCGGGAGAACAAGCAAAAAGGTACCGTTGCACATTTGTTCTGCTGGAGAGCTGGCCGAACATCTGTCCACATCATAACAATGGAGAAGGCCCTCAGGCTGTTCAGCAATAGACAATGTCTCTCATATAATCACTGTCAACACATCTGCAAGTGGGGCAGCGCTGCTCTAGCTGTATCCATATAATTCTAAAAAACAGATCCTAAAATTAACCATACCTTGGGGTGCGTGAAGGCTTCATTTCCCCAATATCCCAAATCTGCCCAATCTGACTTGATAATTTTTTAGCTTTTTTGAAATCATTTTATGAAATAAATTCTGATAAATCATAAATAGGATTAAGTTCCACCAAGTGAGTATATGACTGCAACCTTAATTCCTCTAAGTACAAATTTCTACTCCTTAAAAGATTCTGCAGAAGACTCAACTGACTTTATTTGAATCCAAAGGCTTTAAATAATGTCATAAACCAATCGAAGCTAAAATCTGTTTCAAGACAACAGCAGCAGCAGCAAAAACATTCGATGCTTTAAGGATAAGGAAAAGACTTAAGAGCTGTGGCCCATGATTACATTTTACACGACATGCATTAGTATAACACAGAGAATTATCTTGGCATAAATTCCCTTCTTCTTACAGAAAAGAAAATTAAAGCTATAAAAAGTGCAGATACTGTAACTGGTGATATTAGACATCTCCACTGATTGGATAAGGGAGACAGGCAGAGCCCTTAATCAATATGTTCTTAGAAGTTTCTCCTGTTGTGCCTCTTCCCAGTTGCAAAGAGGATTAGTGTCTACAGCCAAATATCTTCATAAAATTATAATCTCTTTCGCCGTTAACAGAATAATCAAAGTCTACGTCCCGAATTTGCCCTATTAATTTACCTTAGACTTTACATTTCCTTGGACAAAGGAGATTTAAGTACAACTCTTTGTTTGGTGTCTTGTTCTAGTCTTTAGTAAAGCTCTTTATTCAGCCACATAATAATCACAAATCCAGCAGAATCAAATAATCAAAATGTGTTCAATCACTGCTTTCCTACAAACACCAAAATAAACTTTAAATATTGATCTACACTGAAGTATCTATCGGCGAAGACAGAACATTTCTAGACAACCGTGAGATTTTCAATTTGCAGAACATGAATCGAGACTTTGATAAACAGATATAGACATTGTGTTATCATTATACAAATACACACTAAAATGAAATTTTCCTAGTGCTCAGAACCACCTTCTAGGTGAAGTTTCAGTGTAGCAGACCAAACTGAGGATCTTAGTATCAGAGATGAAATATCAAAAACTATCGAGATACTAACATCATTGCTTGATACTGGTCAAAAATCATTTTAATTTTAACCCCATTTGACACCACTATTCGAAAGATGTGGGGAGAGAGGAGGGTTGGTCAGATTATACAGTTCAGAAAAAATGTTGTTTGTTACTCGTTTACAGGGAACACCAAAACGTAAGAATAGATTTTAAGAAAACATCTAATACTGTAACTTATTTACTTGTCAACTACAGAGATCAGTTCTTTGTAATATAATCACTTAGGATAAAGGTATAGGAAATGCAAGTTTAATATATATCAAGTATCCCAGTAGATAGTTGATGTGGGGTACTTGGACTCAATAATGCTCTGTTGCAAAGCAAAACAGACCAGCCTCTCCCATTGTCTGCGTAAGCCAGAAGTTCTTTCTAATAAAGCGATTAGGAAACAAATGGATCTTGACATGAAAAAAATTGTGTGGATAGTCTCTTCCCTGTAGGGCTAACCCAAAAGACAGAGGGATGTTCATTTGTTTTTGTTTTTCTATCTACTACAAGACATTCTTTAATCTCAAACTGGAAATATTAAGATGATGTTATGCAAAAGCTTTCTTAATAAGTAGTCACTAAAAGGGCAGGCTTCCAATGTTAACAAGGAAATCTAATTTACTTCTCCAGAATAAAGATTTGTCAAGAATATTAAAATGAAAGCTGTTTCTGAAGAACATGGCTGAAAACACAAGTACATTCCATAATCTTTATTCTATAAAAGCTGACCTACTTAGATACACTGAAGGATATGTCCCCGAAGTATTAATATTGGTAAACCTCATGGTTCAGAACAGTTGCACAGAAGATTCCAAGAAAATTTCTTACAACGTATTTACGGGGATTAACCCCACCAACACCAGCTCCACAAAATGAGTGCAGAGGCAAGATAGAAAATCCACAAGCATTCTGTTCCCAAGTCCTTCCTCGTAAGTAGCATCAGCCAACGCAGCAGTTAGGAACAAGTTGCTCAGAAACATGCTCATTTGTTCTCCAGGAAGATGCACCCACAACTACGTAGGTCCTTCTGGGAGGAAGGTGTTAAGTGCCAGCTTTCTGGCTAAACTGTCTGGAATCTTTGCAAACAGACTCCAAGGAATAGCAGCTCTAGTATTATCCTTTCTTCAGGAAACTGATCAGAACTCATTCAGATCCACATCTTAACTACTGTCCCTAAATCTTCTCCAGCACTGACAAGACTCATCTTGCCATAATGTACGATTCTGCTGCCAAGAAAGTTTCCAAACCAGGCTCCCTTTTCTAATGCATCCCAAAGAATTTACTTGACCTCTGCGCATCCAAACATATGCTGCTTTTCATCTCGAATGAAACAAATTTCTGATGGCATTAAGAGCAGCCCTGGAAACCTATAAACAGATTTTTATTTATTGTTTGAACATGACAAATAAGGGTTCGAAGGTAAGCCCTCTAACAACATGCAAAGGGTAACAAGACCTGAAAGACTTCTTACAACTGCTCAAGGAATAATGAAATGTGTGTTACTATGCAGAAATTCCCTATTTTAATTCAGAGATATTTTGATTATCTATGGAGTTCATACCTAAAACAGCAGTTGTTTATCTGATATAGAGAACATAAAACCTGAATCAAACAAAAGCTAAGCTAATATTTGTCCCCTGTCACATGCTCTTACTTCATTTCACTGACTTGTCTTAGGACCTCCTCTTGTGTTTTCACAAAAGTGTCCATTCCTTGCTGGGAGACCTTAAGCAAAAAGAAAAATGGAAAATTAACAGCATAGTTAATAGTATGAATGAAGCACAGCAAGGTAAAAAATCGGGACAACGGAATAGGCAAGCCAAAGAAGCATTTTCCACCTGTCCTTGCTGGCCAGCAACACCACTTCCTCTTTTGGAAATCTCTTCTGTCAATGCAGAGACGTATCTCCTCTGCTCATCCAGAATCATGTCCAACTGCCTGTTGAGTTGTTTTATTTCCAGATGAATTCGGTTCTGGCCTTCGAAAATTTGCCTCAGCTCACGATCACCTACTGTCTCAAAGAGATCTTCAGCTTTAAAATAGAAATAAAAAAACAATATGATGGCAATATACTCTCAAGCAGTTGAGCGCTGACATTTCACCAATAGGGTTATCAACGTGCCTTAACTGGGTACTGGTGAAGGAGACTAAGCCCAATTTCAGACAACGTTTTTTACAAAAAAAAAGCATTTATCTCTAGAGCTGTTGAATCATTACATCCTGAAGAGTAATCTGAAAGCAAATTGTTCGCAATTACAAAGTATAAAACTGGCAAAGAAATAACTAAGTGTGCCTGAGCAACAAACAATGAAATCATAAATGTCTCTGCTCAAAAAGAAATCTGAGGTATAAGACTGCATCCTATGAAAAAGATTTAGGCACTCAAGTTCAAAGCTGAGATTTCTGCTGCCAATTTTATTATGACTCTTAATTCTTAATAACTGCACATACAAGTTTTTTGTCCTCCTACCTACAAATAATATTTTCTATTTTAGGAGACAACGCGGTGAGCATCGGATAATATATTTTCTAATTGCAGGCAACGAACAGCCTTCCAATCATTTAATGCTGGATTCACTATCATTACCAGGGCATTATATACATTGGGCTATATAGCAAGCAGGAATAAAGCACTCCAGAAGAATAAGATCAACCACAGCTGGAGTTCATATGGTGGATGTACATTAACTTTTTGATATACTGGAAATTAAAGAAGTGTTTACTGGACACCTCTCCAAATTCCATAAGACTTCACATATGGTAACTCTGAAGCTATAGCAATTTCTCATAAACGCAGTACAGACAAGAATCCTGTTTCTTTAGTAAAGAATCTAATTAAAACAACATTAGGAAAGCAAGCACATTAATTGTGTCATGACCCATCCCTCATCATTTCCATAACTTGGCCACTTACTGGGTTGCCCTTGTACATCAGGATGCTCCTTCTGAAACTCCTCCTTCTTTTTGTCCAGCTCTTGTCGGAAATGCTCAAACTCTTCTTGATACTTCTCTTTGTCCTGTTCAGGAATTTCTGCATCGGGGGCAGGCTTTAAAACCATTTGAAAGAGAAAATTATTGAAAAGGTCATCCTTAGAAGGTTATGGCATGCATTTTTAATATGTCTGAACTTGGGGCTATTCTTATTCAGGTGTCTCTAACTATTATCAGAAGGGAGAGCAGGGCACACATAGATAGTTATGCTCCACACCTGGCAGCCCTCCCTATTGCAAACAACATGTTGGGGGAAGGTATAAGGTGCAAAGCTTGTTCAACTGCCACAGTCTGAAACCTATCCATTCCATATTCTAAACTGAGGATGAGGAACATGGGGCTCAACAGATATTGCTGGATTCCAACTCCCATTGTAGGTTAGTCTGACTAGGGCTAAAGATGCTGCAGTCCAAAAGCATGTGAAGGGCTACAAGTTGCCCTCTCTTGGTTTAGTTCTTTTGCGTAGTCTAAAGGTTTGCTACATTGATGTGGTGAATTCCTCTGTGTTCAGGTCATGAATTATAAGAATTATTAAGTATGCCTGCAATACAGACAAAGGTGACTTAACAGTTTGTTATACATGGTTAGCAGTATGGACATGCTGTTCGTCATAGAGAAAATGGAGAAATGAGGACTGCATTTTTGCCATCCCTGCTCTGGATTCTGCAGGGAACTTGATCACACAGAATTGGCTCTCCTTTAACATGTCTCCTCCAATGCATGAAGCACAGCAGGATCAGAAGTGGGAAACAAACAGCAGAAATCAGGCCAGTAAATATTAACCTGCTCTTTCTCTCACGTGACTGTAACTGGGTCAGGATTTCACACTTGGATAGGGCTGTAGTCGGTCCATGTTCACATGACCAAGTCCTTCTTGGCAGCCACTTTTCCCTGATCTGTCCTCTCATGTCAAGACTCAAGCACTGATTAATCACCAGTCTGTAAACACACTAAAGCAACAGAAGATATCCACTATGGCCATCATTTAATTATGTTTTCAAGGGGGTAGTTGTTTCAGTCTGTTGCAGGAAAATAACAAATAATTCAGTGGCAACTTTAAGACCAGTTTTATCTGCTAAAGTTTTTAAGGACTGCAGCACAGTTCTTCAAATACACTGCAGAGTCACTCAGTAGACAGACATTTACTTAGTGGTAGGAAAACAGAACATGAAATGTAATGGAAATGCAAAAGGTCTGGAATACTGATAGTCAATCAGTAATAATTCACAAGGTTTGACAATTCCTGGAGATGTTTATGACCAAAACAAATCCTGTTGTCTGTCATAAACAGCTAAAAATTAGGGTCTTTAAATTTCAGATTTAATTTTAGAATGTGATGGCATCTACCCAAGTCTTCCATAAAGAATCGATATGTAACTGCTGACCTCTCAGCTAAAACATGTTACCCAAAGACTCAGAATTATTAACAGTAAAATTTGGAACTTAGGTATGTATAGCTAAATAAAGTTCAGTGAAAGGAGAATCCCATTCCACTTCAGAACAGGTTTCCTTACATGGAAATTCTATCTAAACCAGAAATAGGAAAACGTGTGCCGTTCAGGTGAGTTGAGAACTCCCAAAGCCCAAACCAGCATGGCCAACTGTAAAGAGCTATGGGAGATGTCACTGGGAGGGCCAGCGATGGATCTGTCTACACAATGAAACTGAAATACTGTACAGTGATGCCTCACAAGACGAAAATAATTCATTCCGCGAGTTGTCTTGTATTGCGAAAAATTCATCTTGCGAAGCACGGCTATAGAAAAAGTTGTCTTGCAAGTCAACAAAAAAAATCACAAAATGCTTTCGTCTTGTGAGTTTTTCGTTGTGCAAGGCATTCGTCTTGCAAGGCATCACTGTAGGATCTAATGCTAAAATGAAGAGAAAAAAAGTCTTTCTTCCCACGTGCATGCATGGCCCAAAGGAACTGTCATTGTTTAAAGGGATGCCTACCGCTTCTTTGCCTGGCTCTGTCAACTGGAACGTCAGGAAAGACAAGACATCGTGGTCATCTGGAGGGAAAAAAAAACAACCATATTATGTTATTCATTATTTAATATCCATAAAGAAAGAGAGGCACCAGTACATGTGGTTGGTGGTCATGTGGCAGAACTGCCAAGAACTCACCTTCAGTTGATGCTGGCACCACTACATTTATAGGCTTTTAAAAAGAAACTTTCAGAGATCTGGCACTAAGTGGGTATGTTGTTGACCAGGAGTTTACAACTTTGCCTAGCAAATTACTAAATACCTTTAAGTTCCTATGTGACTCAGTATGCAACAGACAACGCCTTTGGAGATTTCCTAATTTACAGCAATTTGCCACTAAAAGTTACACCTTTTGGGTAAATGTATTTCAGCTACTATATATATATTCAGGTTGCTCAGTGTCATCCACCACTTTGATGCAAGTACATACACTAAGCTCAAAAACACACTCCACTTTAAAAATTCACTGAGATTTATAAATTTAAAAATGACCATGACCAAACCACCTATGGAAAAAAGCCAATACTTTTTTTCCTTCAAAAATAAAAGGCAATACTTGTTCATTGGCCCAAATAATGTAATATTTTATGAAAGAAATTGCACCCTGCCTTTTTGGTGCTTCCACACCATTCAGGACAGCTAACAATGAGAACGAAAGATAATTTATATACAGATCTGTGTCGCCTACAAGTGAGTCCTACATGAATAATGGCAACTAGTAGCTTTCTAAAAAATCCATTCTGAAAGCCAAAGGGAAGTATTACATCAACTATCATTTTCATGCCATTGAAATATTTAATTCAAAGTGAGGATCTCTCCACAAACACACCATGCATCCATCATTCAAGCTGCTTCCTTGTGTACATCCTGTTACTGTGGTGTGCTTGAATATTTCATCCATATGGATTAGACAAAATTATTTTAATTGAAGTGTTCCTGTTGTTCAAATATGGGGGGAGGGGGAGCCCAGTTACGTGAAATCACGTCACAGAACACAAATCCTAAATCTCTGATGACAGACTACAAGGGGATCAGAATATTTCACATTTACACTATATACGTTACCTTTCCTAAAAAGATTAAATATTTTTTTAAAAAAATAAAAGCCAGTGCATAAACTGATACAGCAAAATGTCACACTAGGCAAAGGAGGCCAAAATGTTGAATATGATAACATTTTCTGTGCTTCCAGGAAGGTGGCTGTGTCAGTTTGTTGCAGCAAAAACAAACACCCTTGAAGCTCGTTAAAGAATAAAAAGTTTTATTTGGTATAAACATTATGGACTGCCAGCTTACTCCATCTGATAAAATGGGATGCAGTGTATGAACGGCTGTGTCAAATACAACCTGTTAGTCTTTAAGAAGCCATTAAGCTCTTTATAGCTGAATGGATTGATACAGGACACATCCAGATTTGTGAGATGCTATACAGTAGTAACCAAGATCCCGTCTACGTGTTTACAATCTGCTACAAGGGGTTTCAGTGCACATTTTAAAGCAAGTGTGAGCCCAAAGCAGAACTCATTGCGCTTCAGATACCAGCCATGGTGTTTACTATGAATTTCTGTAGCTTCCAACCAGCAGAGCCACTGGAATAATAAGTGCCATGGCTCAGTTCCAAAGCACAAGTAGTTCCCCATGCCCAACAGAGTTTTGGATTTGGATTTCCTCAACTAGCCAGCCCACCTCCACCCCCGCACCTCAAACAAGGCAGGCTGATTCTAAAACAAGAGCAGTTTGCATCATGATTAGGAAAGGAAAAGTGGAAAATAGTATTAGAAACCCCCAGCCCTCTGGGGATACCTACCCTTTGCATTTTGACATAAACAAAAGGGATGCTTTTGGCAGTAACTAGCTTAAAAAGAATCTTAGAGCACCAGATAGTATGACTCCATACATTAAGACCAGCACTCCCCTATGCTGATGCTATTGGTTCTGTCCCCTGCATTCTTAAAGAGAAGCTCTCACAACAGGCTAAATAAATGCCAACAATCACAATCACTCAACTGGAAGGAAAACAGTCAAGACAACAATTTGAACCTGTAAATCCTGTCCATTGAATTCCTTCCAAAAGTATTATCATCTAGTTTGTGCCAGCCACAGTAGCTACCTACTTTACCCTTTTTTAAGCCAACAGGCATTTCACATTTTAGCAAACATTAATTTACTCCATGGAGAAATATCACTTGTTTTTTAAAAAAGGAAAGGTAAGGTATGTCTTGACAAGTAAACTCACCTGCAAGACCACCAGTTGCTGCAGAGATCCCAAAGTACCCATGAGATGGTAGAACCATGTTTTCTACTTTGGCACAAAATTCATAGTCTTCTTTGTCTGGAGTAAAGCCATTGTTTATCAATACCTACCAAGAGATTGTAAAGATATGATGCTCCTTATACAAAGTGAGGCCAACTGACTACTTAGCTCATTCATTCATATTCAAAATGGCAGTGATGTTCCAAGGGGGCCTCCCAGCCTAGTCACTGCACAGCATTTAAGCAAATGCCATAGCCACCCCCCAACGTACTGCCTATCATATATTGTACTAGAACTTCAGTGTTTTGAGTCAAAATCCAGTGTATCTGGCGGGCACTGTACAGGGGAATGCTGTGCTAAATGAACGTGACTTGCAGAGAACTGTACACTCAGGACCTCTCCAATGACCACTGATCAAGGGATATGCCACTTTTAATTACACAAAACCTCAGTTCTGACACTAAAGGAAAACTGGCATTTCCCCACACCCTAACATATGCTTAATGGCAAAGCTCTAATTGAAAGCAACAGCTCTTTTATTGATGGGGCATCGTCTAATACAGTGGTTCCCAAACTTTTTTTCACTTGCATACCCCTTGTAAGCCAATTTCCATAAATTGCATCATTCATATCAGCAAAATGTTTGTAACTAACATGGTTGCTGTTATTTCAAATGTATATGCCCTAACTGTAAATAAATAGCCCAATTATAGGATTAAAAAGCAATGGAATAATACAGTGAACAGACAGGGCATATATGTATTTGAAACTCAAAAGATACAATGAATTCAAGTAAATACATTGGAGAAGACCTAGAAAACTCAGTCACTGAAAATTGCTGACAGGACTAACTCAGATGCCTGCATATATGTATACACTGATACTGTACGTGACAGCACTCAGATGTTCACAAAGTGGAGGAGAGCGAAATCTGAGTTTGTGAAGGATGGGCTGCCAAGCACATGCACTTTAACACATTGTTTAGGGAGGGACTCCCCACCACTCACCAAAATAACAAAGAGAAGGAACTGGGCTTTTCTCAAGATTAAATAATGTAGAAAACCCCCTCTGCCTCTCATCCTAAGGTTCAATTAATTGTTCAACTTTGGACTTGTATCTTATCTTACACTGTTGATGTATGTGCCTTTTTTCACCATTATTCAATTTTTTGTGTAACCCCTAAAGGTTCTGGTTCATATCCTTGGGGGTACAAGTACCCCAGGCTGGGAATCACTGATCTAATATATATTACTTCAAGATAAAAACTGCACCAGTGGCTCAAAATATCTGTCTTAAACCTAAAGGCAAGATAAATGAAAAAGACCTCTCTAAACTGTTTCTCGGGGCACTTTACAATCTTCAAATGACACACAATGAAAATTTGCAAGACCTGACAGGCCAAACCAAACAGAACATCATCTGACCGCACAAAAATAATATGTTGGAGAAAGTTGCATGATCCCTTGAGCATCACCACACCTTGTACTGGACATTTAGTCCAGTCGTGTCCGACTCTAGGGTGCAGTGCTCATCCCCGTCTCCAAGCTGCAGAGCCAGCGTTTGTCCAAAGACCGTTTCCGTGGTCAGGTGGCCAGCGCGACTAGACACGGAATGCCATTACCTTCCTACCATACTGGGTATACCACTTTCAAATCTAGTATTTTTGACAACTTTTGGGACCATAAGTACATAAGTAAGACATTCTAGCACTGAATGCACACACAAAACTATAGTAAGAACTGGGAGGACTCACAGTAAGTGTCCTTTGGTAGTATGTGATCTTTGCTCGCACTGGATAAGGTTTGTTCCGAAAATCTCTTTGACATGATGCCAGTGCCTGTGTGGAGCCATCACTTTATGATAGAGAACATATAATGAACACAAACTTAAAATGCAAAATATAGAACAGAATATAATACTAAAAAGTTTGGAAAACAGAAACACGCACCCTGTAAGTAGAATCAAAGTTCAATCAATTTATTCCAGAAAGGAAATACTTAACTCCATTATTATTAAAACAGATCACATCCACAAAAAAGGATTCTCTTAGCTAAGTTTTTAAATGAGTTTAAAGACCACATTAAGAGGAAACATGGTTAATGTTAGACACTGGCTGCCACCAGTGCATATGGAACATTAGAGCAGAGTTTTTCAAACTATTATTTGGGAATCAACAGATTCCTTAGTACACATGTGAGGAAGTCAATGGCACAGGGGCCATAACCAGGCAGAGAAGCAATCCGTTTGGGTAAGTCTGGCCAAGGCAGTGGGACTGTTGTCTTGCCCATCAACTCATGTGCCCCATGAGAATGTTCTTGCAGGTAGGGGACATTGTCAGTTCACACTGCTCATGTCTGCAACTTGGATCTGTAGAAAAACTTATTTTCCTTAAGGTCAATCTACCACTGTTGGGTTTCCCTGAAGTCCCCTTTAAGTAAGAGAGAAGGGCACACTCTGTTCACAGGGTTATGTCATCCTTCAGTCTGCTGACCCTCCTGCTTTTCTCATTCTTCCAACTGCCAGTCCAAGACTGTGCTCACTCACTCAACTGTGCTGTGCCCCATGCTGCTGGCAGAGTTCGTACCCTCCATAGGCTATCTGCTGCTCCAATCTGCCTGCCAGTGCTGCCCAGGGTATTTGCCCAGTCCGCAATGCATCCTGTTCTCTGCTCCCCCAATGCTGCTGGTATTTCTTGCTAACATTCCCACTGTCCAGAGTTCAATCAGAACGCCCACTGCAATAATTTCCTGTTACCTAGGCACTGTTGGTGAGAACTCTTTTTGTTTGGCATAATCACTGGGTATGTGTGAGAAGACAAAGGGAAATTCTTTTAAAAGGATTTGCCTGCTTGTGCTTTTTTAATGACTATATAGTATTCATATTGGCTCTCATGGATATCAGGATAACCCCAAATTCCAAATTTTTGTAATTCCAATTCTGAAGGGCTCTCATTCCGAACTGTGATGTTAGTGCACATCCTTAGTTCCTGCATCACCGATCCCTGCTGGTCTCTAGAGAAAAGCATCTCCATCCCTTTGTAACACGCTCACGACTAAACGACTAAACACACACATCCCTTTGTAACACGCGCCAACCCTCCAGTGCTGGGTAGGACAAACATTAAAAACATATATAAAAGCAAACAGCACTTTTAAGATGTTGTTTAAAATCCCTGGCTGAAATCCAATAGTGTAACTTCCACCATGTAAAGTTAATGATATAAGCAGCCATTGTGGTTTTTGGAAATTAAACATTTCTGTTTCCAGTCCTGCCCTCGTTCTGAGGCCCAGTTGGGATCCCTTTAGCCATAGGGAAGCTGTTGGGGGTTATGGGATAGGAGGGAAGCCTTTTATTTCTGAAAATCTCCGCTGGTGGCAGAATCATCCCAGCAGTATCAACTTTTGGAAATTAAAAACTCCTACCCCACAGGCCCAAGCAGCCTCCCCATGACAAAAGACATACCAAAGATATATTGGGACCTTCAAGGGGGGGGGGGCATAATTGGACATTTTTTATTTCCAAAAAACTTCAGTGGCTGATGATGTCATCAGCCTTATATAGCATAAATTATGCTACCTGATCTCAGCCACTACATCCTAATTTGAAATAATTTCCTGCAAATGAAGAACAACGATCATAATGTATATATCACTTACTTTTGGTGGTCATAATGGAGCTTGCCATTGTTTCCCACAATAATCACTGCTGGGTTATTTTTCTAGGGAGGAAATGGAATTTAAAATAAAAATAAGCTCAGACTTTTAAAATGAACATTTTAAAGTAGAATTATTTTATTTTAAAATATTCTTCTTTTTCCAGTAATGACCAGAAATCTGCCCAAGTAAAATGAATGACTTTAAAAAATGCTTAAACTTCAAAAATCATGTGTTAACTGTAATTAAACACACTAGTGAAGACTCCATATAGTCCTTCCCTTATCAGAAAATACACAGTGCCAGCTGGAAGCCTTACATAAGTTAACAGTGAAAGGCATCATTGAAAGATGTAAACAGCATAATAAAGCTTAACACACAGCTGCAGATTTCAATGGCAATGATTTTTAAGATGTAGCGGAACAGCACTACCCTCAAGTGAGAGTAATAAACTGTTATGAGATGAAGCACAAAAGCTAAAGAAAATCTATGCGGAAAATACTGATGTAGGTGTACACAGATTCCCATGCTAAGGTCGTACTGTTGGTGGCAAGGCACCTGTAAAGCACCTGAATAACATTTCAGCTCATTGCAAGATCATTCCAAAAAAACACCTTACTGCCCAAAATTCAACTATTTGTTCAAGTTAATACATTTTTGGTAGTAATACTGTATATTCTTATTTGGAATAAGCTTCACTGAATTCACTGAAGGTTACTTTTGAGGGAACACACATTGGTAGCAGCTGCAATCCCCATTGTTTCTATTTGTGATGGACAGTCTTTGTTTCTCCAGATGTCTTGAATCGAAACTCCCATGATACTTTACAGCACAGAGCTTCTAAAGCCTCAAATCTACATTTGAGAGTGCCCCAAATTCTACATTCCTGTTTTAACTTTTCTTAGAATGCAGATGTCCTTTTCATAAAAGCCCTAAAGAAATGTTGTACATAAATTCATTGTACACATTTTGCATAACTTTCCACTAACCTTTGCATCATTGTCAAAGGAGTCAAAGAAGATGCCAACGCCATTCCAGTTGTCAGCTGCTCCAAAAACAGGACCATCTAAGCCTTGCCCTTCTGTAAACCAGACAGCCTGTTCAGAGAAATTCACATCTAAGTTTTAAGCAATACAGTACATAAGAATGATCTTTTTGCAAAGGTGACTGCCCTACGTACCAATCCATCTGCTCCCACTCGCCCTCTTCCTGTCACTCGGAAGGTCACTTCAATCTCCCAGAATTCAAATACAGATTTACTTTTTGTCCATACTGACCCCCTCTGGCTTTTTAGTGATGGTGTTATTCTTATTTGATCAGCACTGGGAATCGCATCTGAAAAGAAAATCAGGAACTGATTATTATTATCTACAAGTAATAGCTACTGCAAGAAAAACTGCTGCATGTAATACTCCATCTCCAGTTACAGAACTGATTTTACATAGTAGAAAAAAGTATCACAGACTTTCCACCCCATTGTTTTGTGGGAAAAAAGTGCGTTGGTGCAAAAAATATGGTACTTATCATTCAGTCACTTACTCCATGGAATAAGAGGGAGTGTTCAATGTGTGTTGTCACAAACCCAGTTGTTTCCCATACTTAAGTATCCTGAACCAAAGATAAAGTGGAGGACTATGGTACTTAGAACAGAGGGTAACACAGCACTGCAACTTATAAAAAGAGCAAGAAATGGAGAATTTAAGCATGGTACTTCCTCAGCACAGTACGCTTGAGCACTCAGTTGATATCTGAACTAGAGATGGAGCACAGGTGGACATAACAAGGGTCCAGCCCTCTGGAGCTGGACCGTCCACTCACCTTCCGCTGTTGCTGCGGGCTCCACACTCCCTTCCTATTGCTCTGGAGCTCGCGGTCTGCAAGCCATTCTTCAATCTTGCAAAGAGGCTCGTCCTCCCACCTCCTACCAGGAGTGGCTCTCAGACTGCTTGCAGCAACAGCAGAAGGTGAATGGATGGTCGGGCCCCAGGGGGCCAAGACCCTGTGTAGGGGTATGCGCATGTGTATACAAATACCCTCATCTCTAATATGAACTGAGGAAAGACACTTCCTAACATTCTAGGCTCTGCAGAAGGAGAACATGTTTTGTTTACACAATGACCAGAACAATGAGCAAGGGCAACTGTCAGATGCTTTGCATGTGGATCTTTAATAGGAAAATTACCTTCTGAATAGATAATTTCTAAACAACAATTGCTAGTTTCATGAGCACTTGCCATTGTACAAATTTAAGAGTTGGGAGGCTCCTACAAGCCACCAAAAGTCTTGAGAGAACATCTTCTGAGCCCTCCTAGCACATACAGGTGTCGCAAGAGTGAAATAGAAGTCTTACCACTTAGGTTGGGATTTCTGCAAGCAAAGCACTGTAACACTGGATCAGAAGGACTTTCTAGAACTGCAACGTGGGAATACTAAGCTAGCCTGGGAAAGAAGGTAAACCAAGCAACAAATCCTGCACAACCTAAACACACATCCAAACTTAAGATAAATAAACAAAGCAAGGTGTTTTTAAAGATAGTTAAGCATACAGTATTTATCCTTCCTCACAACTCTCCTAACATGTTGCTATGACATCAAGGGTGAAAAAACAGTACCAATCAGGGAACAGTCTAACACTGTACCCGAAGACCAATAAACTCTATGGGGGATATACTGAACTATTTGTAGAAGTGATTCCATTCTTATCTAACATTGTAGCTCAGAGATAGCATCTAACATGCAAACATGGAAATAATGCATGGACATTCCAGTTTTACCAGTGTGGGGCCCTGTCATGTTTCTGTAACAGTAAAATCTGGTATTAACATTCAGAAATATTGTTGCCAGTCCCCAATATTACACTGTACTATAGAAATATGGCTATAGCATAGCACCCATACTAAACAGCTTGTATCAGCAGAAGCGTTGTACTCCTTTATAACATAAAACTTTTGTTTTTAGTCTTTCCATGGCATTTTCTAATTACCCCAACTCATGATTTAGAAACCTAATGCACTGGATGTGTGCATTTTCCTGGTTCTTGCAGGATTTCATATCAGCAAGTTATTTGCTCGTGCCTCAAATGCTGGTTTAATCAATGACAGAAGTGTCAACATAGCACTATAAAAATTGCAGATCAGTCCATTTCAGTTGAAATATAATAGTAGCACAGTATGTTACTCAAGACCAAATCAAAAACTTATCTGGACTGAAGTAAAAAAAATAAGTAAAGAAATGAATAACTGGTGGTGCACAGAGAAAAAGGTGAGGCTGAGCATGTAGAAACACATAGTCACTCCATTTCTGCAAATGACATGCCACTCTTAAGATGCAAATGGTTTCAGTCATTCCTAGAAATCATTTTGACTAAGATTAACAAACAAGAACCAACAAGAGATTTTGTCCTACCAGAAAGTATTTAAAATAGATCTACTTGTTCAATGAAGATGGTCTTTCCTATGACATATATGTAAGCCATATTTTATTACATACTTTTTACTTTAATTAGATTTTTACCCCGCCCCCTTAGACAAAGTCTACTCGGGGCGGCTTACACACATAATAAAAATGTCACAATATAACAAATATCATAAAATCATTTAAAACATCATAATTTGACACTTATTTTAAATCATAGCTAAGATACATACTTAAGTCATACTATATTTAAGTCATACTATGTGCTAACAACCTGCATCTGGAAGCGTTAGGATCAAATATATACAAATTAGCTGCAGAAAACCGTGTGTGACCAAGCTGCTAAAGCAAGCATTGCTCTTCCCCCTCACCTGCCAGAGTTTCATAGATGCCAAAGTCATTTGCACCAAATACAAGTGTCATATTGATTCATATTAACAATATGGAGAAACTACCACCCTATAACCCCTTCATGGATCGCTGCGGATTGCTGCCTTGTTGTGGCAAAGGGGCTTGAGTAATTCAGAGAAGCTATGAGATATGCCATGCAGGGACACCCAAGATGGACAGGTCTTAGTGGATAGTTCTGACTAAATGTGATCCACATGGAGCAGGAACTGGCAAGCCACTCCAGTATCTTTGTCAAGAAAACTCCATGGACAGAAACAAAAGGCTAAAAGATATGATGCTGGAAGATCATAACTTGATCTTTTCATCTAAGCCCCTGAGGTTGAAAGGCATCCAACATGCTGCTGAGGAACAGTGGGGGACAAAGACAAGTAGCTCCAGAGCTGCTCCAGAGCTAATGAAGTTGTTGGGCCAAAGCCGAAAGGATGCTCAACTGCAGACGCACCTGGAAGTGAAAGGAAAGTCCGATGCTGCAAACAAAAATACTGCACAGGAACCTGGATTGTAAGATCTATGAACCTTGGAAAGATAGATGTGGTCAAACAGGAGATGGCAAGAATAAACATTGACATCCTGGGTGTCAGTGAATGAAAATGGATGGGAATCGGCGAATTCAATTCAGATGATTATCATATCTACTATTGCG